CCACAAAGTTCAAACTCCAGTAAACAAAAATCTCAATCAAGCTACTCAAGATATGCCAACTTCAGTTCAGTTTCCACCCACTGAACTTTATAAACCACCCCTCAAACAGGGCATGAAAGCACTTCAGCTACTTCCACTCCTGTGCATCCTACACTCCGTGACTAACCGAAAGCCACTACTGCAAAGGGACTGGGAAAATCACTACAAGTTCAAACTCCAGTAAACAAAAATCTCAATCAAGCTACTCAAGATATGCCAACTTCAGTTCAGTTTCCACCCACTGAACTTTATAAACCACCCCTCAAACAGGGCATGAAAGCACTTCAGCTACTTCCACTCCTGTGCATCCTACACTCCGTGACTAACCGAAAGCCACTACTGCAAAGGGACTGGGAAAATCACTACTCTGAAAGCAACTGATAATAAGCCCCAGCAAATTAATATCAATGAGTGAGTCAGGCTTCAGGAAGGAAAGAAAGAGGTAAAAGAGTAAGCCTCTACTGAAATGCTTTTTAGCAAAAAGAATTAAAATGAAATTAATCAGGGTTCAGGATTATGAAGGATATTACTCATGTAATAACATCCCCCAATATAAAAGAGAAGGAAGCTCATGGAATTCACTGCTTCACCACGTATGAGCACTTGTCCTACAACTGGACAACTCAGCAGGCCAACTGACACAGGCTGACACAACAGCTTCATCAAACCTTGTGTTTGAGGGTCAACTGCTTCCTGTCAGGAGCATGAAACACACCCTACATCAGCCAGTAAGACTTCTGTCCTCTGACTCACCTATTAGCTATTGCTACAGGACTTGGTGAACCAGTGGGTTGACTTAGGTAGAAGTCCTAAATTCCTACATAAATCAAAGGAAACAAAATGCACAAAGCAATAAAACAGGGTTTGGAAATTCTGCTGCCACATGGATCAAATTGGTCAAGGAGTTTTTCCTCCCAGGGCTATGCCATGGGTTTTTCAGAGCTAACAGGAAGTTGAGAGACTTAGACAGTTCAAGACAGACTTCTCTGCTGCCTTAAAGCCTCCATGCAGTTTTTTATAAGCATCTGAATACATTTGAATAGCACATTAGTAACTAAATGGAAAGAGAGGACAGCCAAGAGGTAGCAACTCAGTATACTTACATAACTGTATTGTCATCAACTAAGATATCACAGCCATGGGCAGGGCATGAAATGGTCTGAAAAACACAAAAAGGTCAGAATAAGAGGAATGGTGTTTATCCTATTTTGCATCACAAAGAATTCTAAGGCAACAGAGTTCACTACAACCCATAGCAAGGAAAGTGCCTTGGCTCTACCATCCTGTCCCAGGGGTGTCACTGCACAGCACAATTCCTCCCACCTAGAGCAAAGACACCTGCACCAACCTGTGGCAGAGTACAACCCCCAAACCTTTGGGGCTTGGGTTTTCTTTGTTGGTCTTTTGGGTTTTTTAAACTTTAGTGGGGATGACTCTCCTCTTTCTTCCCCTCTCCTCTCCAATACACAGGATTCCCAGGAACAAGCCATGAGGTGAGTGACATTTTACCTGTCCCATGCCTTCCTCCATTATTTTGGTAGTTAAATATTCGCTCCAGCACTGCATACAGAACTTGTGTCCACACTCTAGGCCAGTAAAGTACTGCAATGACAAAGAACACAAGACATTGGATCATTTCATCATGTGAGTTCACTCCACAATTTCATCCTTCTTGGTGCTGTGCAGTTCATCAATCACATCCCTCACCCCCCACACCACACTTGAGACACTACTATTTTATTTTACATTATCACCACTGGAGAACATTGCCAGGGCAGCTTTAGTCATGTTTCCAGAGCCAGATCTTAATCCCCAACTCCAGCAGCAAGGAAAGGTGTGGCCGATGTTTTCATCCTGCCTACCCATTTAAATATATCTTTGTTTTAGGAGTATATATGGAGAACAGCATGGATCCCTCCTGTTTGTTTCTGCAAAGCAGTTAAATAAATGAAACACCAAACAGGCCACAGTGCTAAGATGATACTGTCTTCTTTCCTCTTATTTTTTCTACTTGGCACATGTGGGTGCTGCCCAAAAGTCCCAGACCTCCTTGGTAAACTTCCTCCTGAAACCCAGGTGCTCATCAGATGAGGACACTAAAGATCTTAATTGGCAGGTGTAAATTACTAAACAAAATTCAGTAATGATCAGTTGTCACAGACAGCAACAAGGACAACTTCATCTGCATCAGCATCATCTGCACAGAGCATGGGAAGATACTATCTGGGATTGAGTGGTTACACAAGGGGTGGAGAAGAAAACACTGCTGAGGAGACTGGAATTAAGGGACATTTCTCTGGTCATCTTAAAGTTATTTTATAGCCAGAGTCAGGGGCAAGGAAAATTATTTAGAACACTTCGCTTGTACCACTGCGCAGGTAATATTTGCTGGCTTAGCTTTTCAAACTATCTTCTCAGCCAGTGAGATAAAACAAGAACTCCACCCTCAGATACAATCAATCTGTATGAAACTCCACACAGGAAAGAACCTGGAACCCTCTGCAGAGCAGCCTGAAGCAGCAGCAGAATGGTGGTAATTTAGAGAGAGTCCATTTTAAGAAAGTGTTCTTCCAAAACTGCCTCCTTGACCATTACAGGTTCATTTTGTCCATCCCACACTGATGTATCAGCTGGGTTACACTCGTCTCTGGATGCTACAGCACTGGGATTGCACAGGGAAGGGAACTATCAGCACCTGCTTCCCACGGCCTCAGGTTGTGATCACACTGGTCGGGCACTCCTGCCACCAGAGAGGCACAGGTCTGAACCTGTGAGCAGCAGCACAGTTAAACCTGACCTGACCAGACAGTGAGAAGAGAGCTGAGCATCTGACTTCATTCCAGATAAAACCAGACATCCACCCAAACACAAACAAAAACAAAACCCAGAGAGGAAGCTGACACCTACATGGTGCCCAGGTGCACCAACTCCAAGACTGATGAAAGATACCTTCCAATTCCTGAACCCATCCTGAGCCAGCTAACAGACATCTGATGCTTCACAGACAGTGCTGTGGCCAGGTGATGTCCCCTGGAGCTGCAGGTAGAAAAGTCTCAACATTTGGAAGTTTTGGGATGCCACAGCACACAACCATCCCAAAGACAGGACTGACTTTTCCTGAATTTTGGCTTCTCCACATGCAATGGGAAGCAAGTACAGACAAGGGGATCATCCCTTAATGAACAGATCTTCATTTAAGCCTTGTTTTGGTTATTTCAGGCAGGGAAAAGGGTTGCTAAATGCCCACAGAAAGGGCAGCCACCACACTTCCTCCCAGGCCGCAAGGAATTCAGACTATCTTTCAACTCTTTACTTTGAGGGAGTTCCCAATTATTTTTGGCTCAGCTGACAGCAGATGTCAAGGGAGCAAGCAAAAAGGCTGACCTAAAACCACTGAGTGCAAGGGGTAACAGTGACTTCTGAAGCAGCACATCATCACAGCGGACAGCTCTGCTGTCATCCCATCTGTGCTCATCACCTACAGTCTGGACAACAGCAGGATGTTCCCCAAAAAACACCCCCAGCCCAGCAGCCTGGCTTTCCAAGGAACCTGAAGGTGAGATGCAAGAGAAGAGGCAGGAAAAGCCATGACCCTCTCAATTCCTGTCTTACCTACAACAGTCTCACCCAGAGTAACTACTGAGACTTGATGGGGACACAGAGGGAGTAAAATATTTCGCTGAAGTTTTCAAACCATCAGGGTGTAGGCTGAAAGAATCAAATGCCTCTCATTTTGCTTCCCAAAAAACTCAAATCACAGTTCTTTGGAGACGACTGAAGAGCTATAAGGACTTGTAGAAAAACACCTCCTGCAAAGACACTGCCAGAGGGGCAATATTCAACACAAACATTCCTTCAATAGCTGTATATTGTTGAACTTCTCAACAGGCACAACTCCAGACTCTCAGCTTTCCATAGGCTGCAAAGGGGTCTTAGGAAAAAATACAGCTTTTATGTGACCAAAAAAACCAAACCCTAACCATTGCAAGAGGATTTTCAAAGCTGAGAGTGTAGGTTAGGTACTGAATGTAACCATAATCCTAGAATGTGTAATTCACATTGACTAAACCAGCTGCAAAGCAGACTGTAATCACCTCAGACACAGACACCACAGCCTTTCACAGAAGAAATAATAAACATTATTTTCCTACAGGCTCCAACTTTTATGTATGGCAAATAAACAGAGGTTCCCCTCTGATGTGTCCTGACTTAATCGACACCAAGAATACAGATAACCCTACTCACCTGCAACATCTCACTGCTCCAGCTAAGAAAATGCTCTTCCAACAACTGGGCCATTACTATTTTGAATGTGCTATTTGAGCTACAAACCCAAAAGTATTAGTGTGTTTTGTGCAATTCTTGTCAGGAGCCAGAAGGCTGCTGCCCAGGCAGCACATGTACCCCCAGCCAGAGCAAAGGCCTCTCAGCTGGGACTTGTACCTCCTGCCAGTACAGCAACTACATCAAAAAGGGGAGAATAATACATTATGAACATGAAATCTAAATTTGAAGTTTCCAAGAGGACCTTTTCTGGAGATAGCATTGTCTTCTCCTATTTTCATTTAAAATGTTGCAGGGCCAAAAATCAAAATTATTGCTTTACTACCTAACACTGAAAGTCTGCAGTGACTAAACAATAGATTTTAGCATAAGGTAGAGGGCCTAACAAATTTCTCAAGCTTGTCCTTCTTATCCAAAGCACCTCTTCATACAAAGCAAGCAACAATTTGCCTTTCCAGCTATTCTCCAAAAAGGAAGTCAGGCACACAAGGCTTAGGAGGAGATGCACAAAACCTTGTGGTTCCTGGCTCAAGAGCAACAGTGATCTTGAGGCTGATAATCTGAGGCCTGAAACTGGGCTTTGCTTGGCTCTGCCTGTTCCAGAGCAAGGTAGAGGCTCACAGCAGCCAGGGGACTTCAGGCTACTCATGAACCCCAAAGCTTGGGGTGGCTCCCATCCTTGCCGAAGAGAGCTCAAAAAAAAAACCACCCAGAGCAAGAGTGAAGCCTCGTGCAAGAGCTGCTTTGCTCTGGAAAGGTCAGGCACAGGTTGGAGTGTTTTGGAGGGTCAGGGCAGCTCCCCCAGGAACGACAGGTTCTGATACAGGAATTCCTCCTCACTGTGTCAGCACCCTGCCTTTTGGCAAAGCCACGGATGAGCTCTCCTATTTGAGCTTTTCCACTAATCTCCTTTTCTTACAGATCTCCCATCATTATGCCCTGCCCCTGGGAGGCCACAGCAGAGCCTGCACCTCTGATCAGTGTACAGGAATTGCTTCCATTTTGTCAACAGCTACACAAAAAACACTATCACCACCGACCTTACCACAACAGACTGAGTCAGAGCTCCAGCAAACACTGCTACCCTCATCTTCTCCAGTTAAGAAAATATTGTACAAACATAAAGATCCAAAAATATCCACATTTCACTTCTACTCAGTTTTGTTCTAGACTGTCTAGTTTGACTATTTCATATCATTATTTACTACTTTTATAAACTGCTTCCTGTCTTGTCATTCTATTTAATGAAATTATTTTGCCCATCCTGTTTTCCACGTATTTTTTTCTTTCATGCATCATTTATTTGCAAGTCCCAGTTGGTATCTGACCTTTGTAAAAATCAGCCTCTTGCTTTTTTTCTGAACTCTGCTATACTTCTGCCCAGGGCCCAGCACCCTCAAAGGGCTTCTGCAGGAAAGTGTTAAGTTTCAGGTAGCAAATTTGGGGAGTTACTGGTCAGATCCTCCCGTGGCTGTCAGGTACTCACCGAGTTTGGGTAGTTCAGATAGCAGATCTGACAAGACATATCCTGGGCTGATGACCTTGTGTTCATCTGACGCGTTCGAGACTTTTTACTTGGGTTAATTACGTGACACTCTGCAAAGAGCTTCTCCAAGTTGCCATCGAAGTACCTGCACAACACACAAGAGAAGTAAAATATAACTACCTTCCCTGTTAAGTCATTTTTCCATTCTATTTGGGAGTTAAATGTACAAAGTTGCTTTTATTATTATTTCAAAGCTCACACAGCCACTACTTGTAACAAACTCTTCACTAACACAACATAGAGCTGGATATTAGACAACTGCATCACATCAGATTCTCACTTGAATTGCACACTCCTGAAATTCAGGGACCTGCATCCCTTCAGCTGTATTTCAAGTAACTCATGATTCTCCCCAGTGGTTGCTTTGCACTAAAACTCCAGGACAAGAAACTAGAGCAAGAACATCCTACTTTGCAGTCCAGGCATTGGGACACACACCTTCCTAAAGCACAGGTTTGATGCCTCCAAGTTCAGTTCTCTTTTCAGTTTAAACCTTCCCTTTTTTCCTAATACTCTAATCACTACAACATTAAGAGGAGGCAGAAAGCAGCAATCAGTTTGTGATTCAGCAAGTCCCTAGTTCCTGCACTTCATGTTTTCCTCCATGTACTCAGTCTACATTAGGTAGATCCCAAAGAGGTCCTGACTTCAATTTTGGCATTTCCTTCTCTGATCTAAGGAGAAATGTGCCAGCAGAGTCAGACACTGGTTCAGCTGATTGAGCACCTGGGCATGGTCACCAGTCAAAACTGCCATTCACATGCTCCAGTCATCTGCAGAGTCTGGGAACAACTGCAGCTAGGTCTGGACTCTGATCTCCAGCTAGGCCAGGCTCCAGTTTCACACTGACCACTGCCCATGTCCATCTCTTGGCCCAAAGTCCTAGCCAGTTCAGTACATTTTGTCTCCAGTCAACATGAGATATTTTAACAGCCTCCTAAGAAAATACCATTCCAGGTTTACAATACTTCCAAAGATTAGGCACCTCGTGGAAAGTAGGATGTAAAATTTGGTTGTGGGGGAAAAAAAAAGACCAGTCCCCTTAAGGAAAAAAGACAAAGGTTTGGTTTAAAGGCTCATAAAAAGCTCTTCTGCTTGGTGAGGGGGACCAGGTTGGAAAGAATCATTAGTAGGCAGGTCAGCCTCTTCCCAGTATCTTTCACATATCTTTCTCCAGCTTGCAGCAGCTGCAAAGAACTAATCAAATCAGCAATTAACCAGCACATACATCCCCCAGTCAAACCTAGTCAGTCATTCCCCCAGCTCCCTTACAGCACTACCTACCAACAAGACTTGACTCACAATTAAAAAGGATTAATTTTCCTGCTGGTTCATACATTTCTCAATGCAGTTCACATATTTTAGATCTTAATTTTCCAGATGGAATTTGGACGGAAGTAGTGAATTCTGGCATCACAGCATACAGGAGGCTGTGCCACTGCTCTTCAATGTTAACTCAGGGATTTAACTCAACCAAGTTATTTTGTCTGCCTTGAGGATGATTTAGAAATAATACCTAAAAAATTTAGGCAAGTGAATTCAGTCCAGTTCCATTATAGGCAGTATTTGTTTATTAAGAGTCATGGATAAAATAAACTTCCCAACTGCTCTTACAGGCAGCATGACCAAGGTAGGACATCCTCAGTTTGAAGAGAGCAGACACACACCTGGGTGTGATATTTGCAAAGAAAATAGTTTTCAAAACAAATGCTATGATGCAACTTGAATACTGGTACTCATGGCCAGCTAAATGCTTATGGAAATACCAGGGGTATTTGTAATGGTGGGCTGGGTTTCAAGGGTGAATATCCACATCAGGAACTTGACTTTTTTCACCTGGAATTACCTGTATGTTCTAAATACCAATGGATAGTATTCCTGCTTCCCCAAGCTGTTTTCTTTTAATGGATCTCTGTTCTTTGCTGTGCCAGGGTGTGCTGAGCAAGGAATTTCCACAACTGTTTGCACATGTGTCTCAGACTCAAAATGATGCTCTCACTGGGCAATAGGAACTCCAGAAAAGGCAGAAGATACCCTGGACCTCCCTGAAAACACACAGTTCCAATGGAGACCCAGAGTACAAGCCAACAGCTCTCTAACTGCTCCACCACTCCTTATGCAAACATACCAAGGGCTCAGTGGCAAGACTGTTCTAGTTCCTTCAGTGGTTAGGAACAAATCCTAATTCAAATTCCTATCCCTTTTTCCCACTGGTTCCAGCATCACCACAGACCATGTAAGATCTCCCTTTGCCCCTCCCATGTTCTTCAGTCAAAGGATTCAAAAGCAGCAGCTCTAATACCCTTCCCAACCAGAGCAGATAAGCTCCACAGGTGACATTCCTCCACCTCCCTAGCCCAGCAAACTTTCTCAACCACTGGTTTCCATTTCCATTCATCCTCCTTGAACCCAAGGAATCAAAATAAATGCAATGCCAGTTAAGATCTGAGCCTGATCTCATACGAATTCCCCTATATTTCTCCTGCAGATCTCACCTAGTGGATCCCAAATGATGTCTACTTTTCTCCAGAGCTCCTCCATGTCAGCAGCTCCATTTGAATCTCCACTAGAAACTCCAGATTACTTTCCATCTCTGTGTTTATAGGACCTATCATGACACTTTGTACCACTTCCACTGCTGGGATCCTTCCATCTGTCTGATTTTTCCTCTGTGAGATGTCTGTATCCTCCTCTGAACCAAATGTCTCCCAACAGATTTGTGCCAAGTCATTCATTAACACTAACAAACATTCATCCCAAAATTAACTGATAAGGGACTTACTAACAGGTTCCATCTAGTCTGCTACCTCCCTTTTGACCAAAGTAACTACACACACCATTCTGACAGCTGAACTCTTTATACAATACAGCTGCATGCCATTATTTCTGCTATGGAACATGAGAGGAAAATCCTTGAATTCTCTCCTCACTTCCTTCACAACTTAAAGGACTTGGATTTTTCCTTAAATTCCCACTACTAAAGGATTGGCTCTTGGTAGCTCCATCCTGATTTTCAGCCTAGGGAGAAGCACAGCACCTTTAACAGTCTTAAATCCTCTGCCCTCCTCTCCCTTCACAATGCAGATCCTGAGTAATTCCAGCACTTCTGATACAAGAGAACTTGTTCTATTAATTCTTCAAAATTTATTATCTTTATCACAAAGTTGTTTTCTCTGCTATTCTAAAATGAATAGACACACCAATGAATTATTTTCAACTTCTTCTATAATTTCTTCACTGCTTACCAAGACCAAATCCATAAAAGTCTCAAGCCTTTGGCGGAGGGATCAAGCTGTCAGCTCCTTTATCTCCTCAAAATTTCCTCCTGCTGTTCCTAACTGCCTAATCGCCATTTTCTAGACATAATCAAATCCTATCTATGAGAGTATCAAAGATAAAAAGCCTTTCCACTGGAAAAAAAATGCTTCTAGGACACACTATGGGATATTTATTTTCGAGCAAGAGCATTTTTGAGTGTCAGAGCATCAGTATACTCACAGTAAAAGATATCTTGATATCAAAACTCCTGCCAAACACCATTTTTCACCTATTCAGCCTCTGCTGAACAATGTGAAGTTCTTACTTGCCCCAAGGAAAGCAGACAGCCAGGTACCTAGAGAAGAGTCAGCCCCTGAAAGCAAGGGGAAGAGGCAATCTGGGCCAGCAGCCAAGCCACCCAGGCCACCTTGGCATCCCTCCTCTGCTCAGAGGGAAGAGAGACATGTGGCCACCAGGTTAGCACCTACAAGGGCCTGCTGATCTCTCTTTATGTCTCCAGGGATTACATCAGGCCTTGCTTACATGCTGAAACAGTTTTAACTAAATGACCACACAAAGTGGGAGAGCTGTATTTCAGACTCTTCATCATGTGGAGGTTCATCCCCAAAACTCCCCTCAGAAGGGATGGACACCATCAGACACTGGAAGTTTGGAATAAAAGCAAAATAAAGCTATAAGCTAAAGCACTTCTTTCACTTATTTCTGAGGCCACCTAGTCATTCTGCACCTGCTGGTCTTCAGCCTCTATGAACCAAGCTTACAAGACAGAGGAAACCATAGCATTTAACATCTTTATTCTCCAAAACACATGCAGCATATCAGGAATTTGAGTCCTTCCTCCACCACCCACTTCTAACCCACTGACAAATCCACCCCAAAAAACGACTTTGCTTTCAAACACAAATAATTAGTTAATTAATGTATCACCAGTGGGACAGGGCAGTTGTTTAATTGTGGCTGTTACTTCATGGTAAGTGGAATAAATACCTGTAACATATCTCACTCTCAGCACCACTGTTCAATTATCCCATGACAAAGCTGGCACAGACAGGAACAACTTAAAAATAGGCACAGCAAGGCCAGAAGAGCTATTAAGAGGTTTTGGGGGTTTAAAACACTGAAATTTTCACCCTGTGAGCTCAGATCTCAACACTTATCCAAAAAAAAAAAAAAAAAGAAGCCCCCTTGTTTATGTGCTTTAGCCCAGGCCAGGTTTGATAAGGCTGCTGCAAGGCTGTGCTGACTCACCATGAACTAAGGTGAAACAGGCACTGGGTTGGTACTGTAAACACACACCATTAAGCAACAGGTACTTTCAAGTACAATGCATGTTTTTGGGGTTGTTTTTTTTTCCCCTTAAACTTCACCTATTGCCACAGCCATCACCAAATCTTCTTAAACACCAAGAGCCAACTCTCAGCCTCCTGCCCAACTTCTTGCTCCTGCTTGAACAAAACTGAGCACTGCAAAGGGTTTCATGGAAGTTATTTGGTGAAGACGTGACAAAAAGCAGCATCAGGTACTCGAGAGATCACACTCTGGTGTTCTTCTAATACAACCAACACTGTGCAACAGGTCTGCCTGAGCAAGGGTCATGTACTGTATTACTCACGGGGTAATCCTATGGAATTAAGGCAAGTATTTTAATGAATATGTTTACCTGTGGATTTGTAAATATTAATGTGTACTTAAAGTGTTTTGTAAAAACTGTAAACGCCTTAACAGTAACACCTCACACTAAACTGGCTGCACCTCCCCTTGAAAAAAAATCACTGTAGTCTAATCTTTATTTTTACATTGATGGCAGCTCTAAACAAGCTGTTTATGGCTGTTTCAGAGAGAAGGGACAAAACCTACTGAATAAAGGGATGCCATTTCAGTACACTTACACAGAGGTGTCTCACAGGGAGATGGAGGTACCCAGGGTGGGTGAACTCTAGCCTGACCAAGAGAACCAGCCCAAGAAACTCAAATACAAAGTGAACAGACACACATTGCAGAGCAGGAACTAAATCAGAATGCTTAACAGCTGCAGACAGTTAAATAGCCTCAGTGTGACTATCTGTGAGACAAAGCTTTCAGACTTCCAACACTAGCTAAGAGGTCAACCTGAGGAAAATAAAGCAAGGACTAGAAGTTGTAAAAAATACAATCATTTCAGGAAAAAAATTAAAGTTAAATAGCCTCAGTGTGACTCTATCTGTGAGACAAAGCTTTCAGACTTCCAACACTAGCTAAGAGGTCAACCTGAGGAAAATAAAGCAAGGACTAGAAGTTGTAAAAAATACAATCATTTCAGGAAAAAAATTAATCTAGGTTAAACAAAACAGAAGAGATACCTGAGCACCATCACTTACTGAACAGAGTACCAGACTACAGGGGCTCAGCCCATGGCTCAAGTTAAGTGATATTTATCAATTCACAGCACCACCAGCAATGGTTCCTGGTTTACAGACCACAGAGCATCCTATCTTCCCATGATCATCAGGCAAAAGAAATGGTAATTGAAAGTCAAACAAACAATATTACCAGGCACTGAGCCCTTCTGCCCTTGCCACCCACACATTTGTCACTTAACACTGGTTAAGACCAGCAAAGACCATAACAACCACTAAGTCCCTGTATGGCCTTTACTGGTCCTTCTGGCACAGGTTAATTCTCCTCCACCTTCTAAAATCAATTGAATTCTCCAGCTCCCTCACACTCATCAACAACAACACTGGCTATGAAAAAACCCAAGTGCACTGCCACTGGATTTGGCCTCTGCTGTGCAACAACCAACTAAAAAGGACCTTTACCAGCAACATTCCCCAAGAACTAGGCATCAAAGATGAGAAATAACCATAAAACCCTCTGCTCTGAGCAGGAGAGACAAAATTCCAGCCATTATTTACACATGCACTGAAGAAAACCTGGAGCTGCAGAGATGAAGAAAAGGCAGGAACATTATCAGTCAGGAACAATTTATTCTTGGCCAGACTAGCAAATAAACACATCAGGAACACACACGCCAGCACAACAGGCAAGAGCAGCTAAACCCAAATCCAAAACAGCTGCAAGATAACAGGAACCTGTTCCTGCTTGCTTTTTTCCAGAGCCCGTGAAAATGCTGTGATGTGTTCAAACTGGAAATCCATCCTTCTTCCAGTGGGAACTAATTTCCACAACTTCTAAGTTTAACAGTGATTAATAATACTAAAACAAGGAATCAGCTGGTAAAGGGGGAACATGCAGAGCTGACACAAGAGATCCTCCTGCCACACACTGTGCATTCATCCATCCTCACATCAGCCAGGTAACAAACACTTCTTGCAGGTCTGAAGCACAAGGTGATGCATGCTAAGGTGGCTGCTTACCTCTCCATCAGCTTCTCCTTATCCCAGTTGAAATGGCTAAGCAGTATTCGAGTGATAGTCGCTGGATTCTGGAGAAAGAAGCAAAAAATAAACAATAATTGAGTAACCAAGATGGTATGAGAGCACCAAGCAGAGTTTTGAATAGGCAAAGGGAAAAATCAGTGTGTCTGATAACATCTTCTGTGCAGACAATACATGTTTACTAGCATATACTGGGAAATAGTTGGACTTGACAGATAGAAAAAGAATTTTAAAACATCTCTGTAAATTAAAATGTCAATATAAAATGAGAATTTGGTTGAAGACTTAAGGAACAGGTTCAGCCTATAATGGTCAGAAATCAGATGGAAAATAAAAAGCTGATTTTCACTTGTGTACTAGTTTTACTTCCAACTGAATCTGTACCATCAGCCAAGGGATTTGTTATGGGAGCCAAGAAACACCACAGACCATAAAGCTTCTGTTACACCCCAGAACCACGTTTCAGCTCCCTAAACCCACACTCTCTGGGCTCAGTTTTAGGCCCATTTACATGCAACAGAGACAAGAGCAGAGCCCTGAGAGCTGCTGTGTGTACTTTGCCATTTGACACCAAAATGGAAGTTTGCCTTAGGGCAAATGTTCAATGGACGCTCTGAAGCTGTTGAAAAGTAGGACATAAACTAGCAATGTGATTTCCTGAGCCCTCGAGCTACAGCTACAACTTGAAGCTGCCAAAAGCCAATGCTGCCTCCCACGGCTGCGATCCCACCCCATCCCTGCATGCCCTGCACTCACCAGGCCATACCACTACAGCCATCTTATGCTGCAACACAGTAAATTACTGGCTCAGAAATGGATCTTCTCTTCACCTTTAAGTTGCTTTTTCATGGACTCAGCTCCCCAATCTGTTTGAATGTCTGACCCCACAAACAGCTGCATTAGCATGGGGTAAAGCAGGACAGCATCTTTCACCACCAACACCCTCAGAATCTTCACTGAAATAGAGCCCTCGGGTGAAAGTGGAAGCACAAAGAACTAGTCTTGTGGTTTATACTATAAAAAGTGACACTCCTTCTGCAGCATGTTCTGACTCTCATTAATGCCAGCACAGATTGTTTAAAGCCAAATTAAGATTTTTTTTTCCCCGCTTAAAAAGCCCATGTGAACAAAAGCAGCTTTAGAAAGGTTAGACCAGATCCGTGATCCAGTCCATGTGGAGCCCCATAAACAGCTAGGATGGGAAATCTACACAGTTTGGGGCAGAAAATACCAGAAACCAGTATTGCCAAGCACTGGATTATGAAAATGTGGTCCCAGTCCATATTTGAACTAGTCTCCCAGGTGATATGGATCCAAGCTCTTAACTGGAATAACATGAGGTGCCTGGTTGATAACCACATGCCAACAGCTTTCCAAGAGCATCAATCCCTGATCCAGGCCTATAGACAGAAGGGAGCAAGAAGTTCAACTACTGCAAGTCAGTCCTGCCAACAAGAAGCTGTATGGGAATTTAAGGGTCTCCTTCACCAAAAGGCTCCTCCAGCTCCAGGGAGGAATGCTGCAGCCTCTTTCAGGGGTTTGATCTTTCTAGGTTATATTGTATTTGGGTCTCACATCTTTTTCTGTAACACTATCTGTATGATGTAGCACTATCTTAAAGGAGCTCTTAAAACCTCACTTAGACACAATTCCTAGAGCAATTTAATCAAAGATGAAAATATGCCTTAGTAAATAAACCAATCTTATCTCTAGATTATCTTGGTTATGATACCAGCTCCTACAGTTCTAGAGTTATGCGTTTCAGACAGCAAAGCATGCAGCTCCAACGCAAGGATTCTCCACTCAGCCCAAAGATCTGTCAGGTGTACAAAAACCCCACTATTTACTTAATTTCTCAAGCAACAGCATTAAGAGAGCTTTAATTAAAATCAGCCAGAAGTCTTGTCCTACCTTCTGCCACAGCAGCCCACTTGGCCACTTATTACGGCTTCTGGGAATACCTATTAATCACTTAATAGACTGAGAGGCAGCTGAGGTAGTGGTCTCTGGCTGAGTTTTTAGAGAAGACAGAAGGTTTCCCTTGCACTGAAGGATAAGTTATGGCATATTAATAAGGAACTCAAGTGGTCTACAGTGATTACTAACTACAACACAGCAGATCCAGCAAATACTGCTCACCCAAGGACACGTGGCTGCCAAGAACAAGAGGGTTCCATTTGTGGCTTCTCCATTTTCCCAACAAGCTGGTACTACAGCTTTCCAAAACAAGGTGCCCTAGGTCAGACCCCCCCCCAAGTATCCCAGCACTGCAACATCAGTGCACGTGATTTAAGATTATGCTGTTGGCTCGGTGTATTATCACACAAAGACGGTGTGAGGAGTGGCTTGCTGGGCTCTAGCTTCCTCCAGCTACAGCAGTATTTGTTCAACATGTTAATTTTAAAAAAAAAAAGGAAACGCCAGCAGCATGACAAGCTCCTACCAGAAATAGCTGGGCTGCCTGCACTCAGTGCCTGCCACAGCCAAGATGTAGTATGGAAAACTTAACTCGTTGTTTCACAGCCACAGAAGGCAAGGACTGACACAGCCGTGGGCAGCGACGCACTCTGAGCTGGCATCACACAGGGAAGGCAGGAGACAGGGAGGGAGGCAGCAGAGAGGCAGACCAGGGTTAAAACCAAACCAAAGGATTGTTGCAGTGTGAGGCCAGGCACTGGTAACAGCTGCTCCACAGGAATTCCCTGCATGCACACACTTTCCTCAGGATTACTTGGGAGCAGCGTTGGAGGAGTCGATCACAGCATCCACACTAGTGAAAGGTGCTGCTGCAGCACAGTGTGTCCTGTATCCTGAGCATACAGGGTTAAAACAACACCACAACAATCTGATGTTTCAACTCCAGTTCTGCTCCAGCCCTTTATCAGCCATCACTTCGGACACTCGCGCTGCAAAAATTAATGGAACGGTTAAACAACACTGGATTACACAGCACTGGGATGTTACAGTCTCCGTTCTGCAGCTGCCTGTGCTTCTCAATTGGCACAGGAATTATTGCCTATGACTCTAACACCCTGCAGATTACTATGAACAGGCTACGCTGCTGCTCAGACGGGATTACTCGGGAGGCTGGGAGCTGCCGCAGGGAGAAGTGAGCTCTCGCTAGGGCTACTTGCTGTTTACAAAGACCAATTTTCCGAAGGAAAAGTAGCCAAGAATGGACGACAAGCAAGGGAACAGCCAGTGTGCTCTCCTGAATGCAGCTTGCTGAAAGCTGAAACAGCAGCTCTCGCTTACCACAGCCACCTATTAAATTTTACATGCAGAGCGCCGGGAGCCGAGGGCAGGGAGCCTGTTGATATCCAGATAGGAACAAACCCAGGGAAAGCAGCCATTTTGTTGAAATTCTCTGGGCACTTCAAAAGATTCTCTAACAAAATATTCCAAAGGAAGCTGTGCCCGCGGACAAACACACTCAGTCCTTCAGCAGGGATTTTAGATGTATTTTTTTGGGCTAACAAAGGAGCCAAGTCCCAAATGTGCTTCAAACATATCCCACTCCGCCAGGGCTTTTCACTGAAGGTATTTACTGCCCTTATCTGTGTGGCTATGCTCTGGCACACCAATGCAAGCAGGAGATAGAGGAATGGGAAGCCCTACAAAAGTATGGACTTATCCAAAGAGGTATTATTTATTGAAATAAAACTCCTTAATTTAGTAGAATTTAATTCAGCTGGAAGCTTGGTCACTGATAAGAGTCAGAATTCTTTCTGCTGTCAAAATAAAGAGGAAGGAGGAACCTTTATGCATTTAAGTGCATCCATGAATTATAAATTAAATATTATTAGGACATTAGCTTAAATCAGAATTTCCAAGCAGCATAATTTGCCGAATGACAGTTTGGAGCACTTGATCCATTCATGTTTCCATCCATCAGGACGAGCTGCGTGGTTAATTCTTGCAGTTATTACCAAGAACAGCACATTTTACAGTTCAGCTTCTCCTCACATTCCAAGAGTAAGCTCCTATTTTCAGTCTCAGCATTCGCTGCAAATAAAAACCATTTCAGAACAACTTAAGCTCAGTTCTTCAGCAAAATCCTTTCCCACCTCCTCGAGACATGGTATTGATAAATTCTTGGTTTTGTTTCTTTCCATGTCACAGCTGGTTTTGTTTTCTACATGTGGCAACTTCTGCATTCCAACAGTTTTCATACCAACTGCAGCATCTTCCACCCCATAGCAGAAGCCTTTACAACGGTAAGTTTGATACTGCTTCCACTTGGGCGTTCTACACGGTTGCTTTTGCACTCATGAATCCAAGCATAAGTTTGATACTGCTTCCACTTGGGCATTCTACACAGTTGCTTTTGCACTCATGAATCCAAGCAGACACTCCAGAAACATTGGCCTTGCCCAGGCCTCAGAGATCTGTGAATGGTTCAAACCTCAGCAACATCCACTGCTGTATTCCGTGCGTGCATTAGTGACACAAGACAGGATTAAATTCCCCAGCAGAAGGAAACTGATGGTTTCACATCAGTCAACAGCAAAGACTAAGAGTTTTGCTTGGTGGAGGAGTAAAGGGCCATCAAAAGCTAACACTGGTCTGAAACCAAGCAGCAAAAACATTTGCTCCAGTGAAGTGGCACCTGGGGACAGCGTGTCACACCACCACTGTAAATATTTAACCATCCCAAACCACAGCCTCTGCAACAGGAGAGCACCAAGTGGAAATTCCCGCTGCCCTCCGAGCACGTGCAGGATCAAACGGCATCTCCACACACCCCATGCCATGGGAGGAAGTGCTGATAAAACAACCTACATGTCACATTTCATGTTTGCAGGGAAAGTAAGAGCAACCTCATCACAAGAAGGTTACAACCAATGCCACAGACCAGGCACCAAACAGCTGCTCCATCAGCCAACAACCAAGTGGACACCAGCCCAAAATTCTGCAATAATCAATAACCAATACTGCGCTTCAACGCTCTGTTCTTCACTTGCACCTCTCCCAGCCCCACATAGATAACCTCAGACATAAACATACAGCTACAAAGTGTTTCAAATAAGCTTTTTAGCTTGTTAAA